TTGTTTTCTGCCCTGAATCTTTGATAACAACCTACAGGGATCTCTTTTTTTAAAAAGCAAATAAAGATTTGTGATCATTCATCAATGCTAAAATTATTATTTTATGAGCATAATTTGTAATTGTAAGCTTAGAACTTTGCTCACACATACTGTATACAGAGAAGGCTTTTACAGCAACATAAACCCCTTTAGTTTGCAGTTTATAAAATTAATATATCTACTGTTTATAGCAGCATTTAATAAGGGAAATTGACTTTTTTTTACTCTCATCTGTTAATATAGAATCTTGGTTGTGATTTTGAGAATGCATGTCGTGGGATTCAGATTACCTTTAGTTTCAAACCCTGTTCTGGGGCCAACTATGAGATATAGGGAGCTGAAGCATCTGCTTCTCGGCATCACTTATGGTGTCCATTAAGCAAGCATGGGCCACTCTGGCAGTGCCTAGAATATCATGACTACCTGGAAATTGTGTAATGCAGGAGCTTTTTCTACAGGTTCTCAACAAAATTCCTTAACATAAAAATTAGAAGAAGCTTTACAATGCGCTATGTATTTTAATGACGATAATATAAAGAAAGGTTCTTATTAATTATTGGAAACTCAAGTGTGCAAATAATGTTAAGCACATAGCAAATCCTAAAACAGTGTAATGTGATATTTTTATGCATTGTCATGAACGTACAATTTAACATGTAACGCACCGTCTTTTTTCTCTCTCTTTTATTGCTGAAAAATCAAAGGATCTTCATTTTACAGATGAACAATTATACCCTTTAAGTTTTTTGGTCCTAGCCGCTGATTTCATTAGTTTCAATTTATATTTTAAATCTATAAAACTAGAAGTATGTACTGTTATGGTGTACCATGGCGGTGTGGTGGCTCTGTGGCTAAGGATCTGCGCCTGCGGCTGGAAGGTTGCCAGTTCATATCCTGCGGCCGGCAGAGGAATCCTACTCCATTGGGCCCCTGAGCAAGGCCCTTAACCCCAACTGCTCCAGGGGCGCCCTATAAATGGCTGACCCTGTGCTCTGACCCCAAACTTCTCTCCCTATCTGTGTGTCTCATGGAGAGCAAGTTGGGGTCTGCGAAAAAAGGCAAATTCCTAAAACAAGAAATTGTATATGGCCAATAAAGTGATCTTCTTCTTACTGTTGTAGTATAGTAGAAGAACTATATATTTTGAAACTATGGCAAATCCTTGTAGCAGGAAAGTATCATTTTTCATTAGTTCAAGTGCTGGATATTTCTGGATTATATTATTGAAGAGTTACTTTATCTTGGCTAAAAGAAATTAAGCACAGTGCTTGAGAGCAGTGGACTGCACAATACAGCATATTAACATACAGACTACAATGAATGTATGAGATTTCCTAAAAGAATAGTAATTGCATATAGTATGATCCTAGTTATTACAAAATCAAACTCAGAGGTATCTGTGTACCATATCGACTATCAGGAGTATATTTCAAGACTGGTTAATGGATTTAAAGACCAAAATTGAATACAACACTGAGAAAGCAGCTTCAGCAGCTATATTTTCTAAAACATTTAGAACTCAATGATACAAGAATTCTCAAACAGAATTCTGTTATTTTTTGTAAAGTGCTTATTCCCCTCTATGCGCAGTAAAAAAAAAAAAGATATATTGCCTCTGTTACTGAACTGTGAGTATGAGCTCTGAGCCCTTTTCCCATCTTAAAATTAGCCATTTACTTTGTTTTGGTGATGGCAAAAGGATTTGAAAGGAATGGTCTTTAGACGAGACAATGGCTTTTAAGGCAAACTACAGCCATGGAAGAAGAATGACTGCCTTGATTTTAGGTTATTTGTTACTTCTTTTGAATCTATTGATTTCTGAGTTAGCTAAACTGAGACTATTCAGTTTTCTTCTATGAGCCATTTAGCTCTCAATGAATGAAATGCAGAGAGACAATTTTCTGTGAACACTGCTCAATTTAACAGGGACTGATCTCCACATGAGATATTGGTATCTGAGAGAACCCCTTAATATTTTGGACATATTGATCATCTTGCTCAATTTTTTGCTATGAGAGACAGATATTAAAATTTACATAAATACTTTTCTCATGGATAGTAAATGAGTTACTTGCAAAACATTTTTTCTTATACCATCTTTATAATTTAATTAAGAAGGGGGGGGGGGGCTTATTTTTATAGACTTTGAGTAATAAAAAAATGGTAAAATGATCACACATAGTGCAAAGAGGGAAGGCAAAAGCTTCAGGCAGATATTTTTATTGTTAGTGTACCTCCTTAGACAACATGATTTCTTTCTCTCAGAAATAATATCTTTATTATGAAATGGTTTCATATGATGTAAATCTAGAGCTCTGGCAAATTTTATTTATAATGTTTGTTGTGCATCCCAGCTTCAGTGCTGTAGTTTAGGTTTTTAGGTTTAGGTTTGGAACTTGATATGATAATCTTAGTTATCTGTTATCCTATTTATGAGTTTAACTAATAGTTTAATAGTTTGTTTTATAGTTGAATCTTCTCCCTGTCACTAAAATAACCTAAATATGTTTATATAATTTTCTAAAACCTTGGTTTCTTAATGGTTTCGAAAATGAGTAACTATTAAACCAATAACTTTGACTAAAGTTATTGATCATTCCTTTATACCTCTTTTAATTAATAAAAATATATTTTTTTAATATCATTTGAGCATTAATAAAAGGCATGTATTTGATGATTATATAGGAACCAATATATTTTTGAGTAAATAATGTTAAAGTTACTCCAAAACTGAATCAAAACATTGGAATCACTATGTAAAAAATGTATTTTTAGGGGAGAGAATTAAAAGCTCAAGTAACATAGTTTCACATAATTGCTACTCTTTGTAACTCTTCATGATGTCCCTGTTTAAGGCAAGACAAAATACTGAATCTGATTGTTTTCCTATACAGCTGTATTCCATCCATGTTTATTTCAGCAATGCATCTGCTTTGAATAGATAAGTGTTTGTGTTTATGTATCCAATTTTATAATTTATATTGATGGTAACCTAACAAAATTGCTTTGGCTTATGAAAGGGAAAGGGAGTATTTTTGATGCGATTTTACTTAATTTACAATTCTTTTCACATTGACTAGAACTGGGGAAAAAATTAACGTGGGCAACTGTTGTTTTTGTTTGCAGCTTTGTGTGGTGGGGATATCAGAGGACCAGGAGGGACAATTCTGTCTCCTGGATACCCTGAGTTTTACCCAAACTCTTTAAACTGCACATGGACTGTAGAAGTAAGCCATGGAAAAGGTAAAGGTGCACTCATTAACCTTGCTTTTTTAATGTTTATTCATTTGTTAGGGGGTAAGTTTTATTTTCCAAAACACCATTCCCCACCCTGGATGAACCCTTTAGCGACTCCCCTCCACATTTCTACATAAAAAAGATCCCTAAGATCCAATCAAACAGCTTCACTGGAACTCCCTCCAAGTTTCCACTGTAACCTCACTGCGGTTACGGATCCTAGCAGTAAAAATGTTAATAGAAATAATATCTGGCATCCTGGATATCACCAGATCTTGAACAGTACTGAACATACAGTAGCACCAGCAATATTTTAAGCATTTTAGACCAGCCAGCCAGATAAGAGTCATCATCTGGCATATTGAATGTAAATGATGCTTACTACTATTAACATTCTAAGACTTTACCACCTGAATATACTATTGCTTGGACTGTCAAGATTATGAACACATAATTTTCTGTAATTCAGTTATGTATGTTGTAAAATGGATTACTTTTGGAAAAATATCTTCTGGCTAGTTTATGGGAATGCATTAATTATAGCGCTGTTCATAGTAGCTTAATTCAAGTTTTAGATCAATAGCTGAGTTTCATACTGCAGTCAAATGAATATGGAGTATTTGAATGTTTTTAGACATAATACAGCTTGTACAGAGTTCGTAATGTTTAACATATTCAAAATGATGGACATTGCTCTAAAAATAACTGAGCTCTCTTGCACTGCTATCATCTTGCATATTGTAAGAAAAATGAACTGAAGTGGCAGCCTGTTAAACTGCAATGAAAACATACAGAAAAGGCAGTTTTCTCTGTCCTCTCAGGAGTCATTTAAACTACAGTTTTAACAATGTGATGCATGAAAAAAAAAACAATTGATACACATGTTTGAAGTCATTTTTGATCTTAGAATGTATATTATTATCCCACTTTTTATATCCAAGGAAGGGGGATATTTTTCAACTTGACACACTCAAGGTGGCAGACCCTTGGTGAATACAGACCAAGACATGATGTGCACTTTCTTCTTTCTTTAAAAAGCTATTTTTATTTCAGCATCATTGTTTTGTAATCCCACATTAATTGTAATGAGATTTACAATGCATTTCTAATACAATTTATCTTCTTAAATTAAAATCTATTTATATAAAACTTTATTATTTCCCTGTAAGATAAAATTCAGGGAGCAGATTTGCATTTTGCATGTATATCATTATCCTGATCCGTGAACCTAATTTTAGCTTTCTTAATAGGAGTGCAATTCACCTTCCACACGTTTCATTTGGAGGATCATCATGACTACTTACTAATCACAGAGAATGGCAGCTTTACTCAGCCATTGGCACGGTTGACTGGCTCTGAACTCCCTGCAGCAATCAACGCTGGTCTCTATGGAAATTTCAAGGCTCAGTTACGCTTTATTTCAGATTTCTCAATATCATATGAAGGATTTAACATTACTTTTTCAGGTAAGAAAATGAAACAGGCTATGCATGTATCTCATGGGCTGAAACCAATTTGTTTGTTGATGTTGAACAAACCACTTTACAGATACCAAGAGATTCCCATGGAGGGGAGTATCTAGTCATTATCTTTCTAGCACTGTACATATGAATTAGTATGATTGATCCTGGTCCAAAGTAAAAGACAGAGTGTCTGTAGGAATATTTCATATTTTGCACAAAAGTCCTTAACACATATCATTTTCACAGTCATGAATCAGGGTGTTTGGTCTGTAAGAACTGTAAGAATAAGCAATTTTGTATTTCATTTTTCTTCAGTTTTCTTGCTGAATTACTAGATAATTCCCAGAAGGATTATGTTAACTATGGATCTTGAAATGTTTTAAAACTGAGATTTTGATCATGTTAAAAAAATAGGTTTAATAAAAAATGTGAATGGAAGGGAGGAGCTGGGCTTTAGATGCACAAGAAAAATTCAGCAAGATACTTATTGAGTTTGGAGACGTACAGTATATGCATATTACATGATGAAAAGAACAGAAAAATCAAAAGAAAGGAAAGGTAAAAAAGGATCTGGGGGCTTAATTTAATTAGACAAGTTTTAATGTTTCATTACAATCATGTCCTTAGAGCCTATGAGGAGCCTCTATGGATATGATCTTAAACATTTTGACTTTTTTTGTGGACTCTGTAGGTTTGGCAGCTTTCAGTAGGAGCTGAAAATGTCTGCTTATCAGTGGACATGAATTAGAGCAAGAAGGGCATTTGAGTAAAGAGCAGCAGTCTCTTCTCATTAAATAAAACCTTAAGATCAAAGACAGCTTGCTGCAAGTATCTTGCTACTGACAGCATTATACTGCTTTTTTCCACAAAAGCAATTCTGCTGTTTATGTAACAGACATTTTAATAAAGTCACATACGTTCATAGAACAAGAACCAAGAACTTTGACTCCCAAGTTTGTGAAGGGTATTATGGTTGAGAAAATGTATTAAAGGATTCAGTGAGCAACTGCTAATCCTTAACAGTCTCCCAATGGGAGGGCCCTATCATTGACACATATTGATAAATGTGCTTATTAAAAAATTCATTCTGTATTTATATGCAGAATATTAACCCTCCAAGCCCCAATGTAACAGATGTCTAGTTTAGTTTTATGATCCAGCAGGGGAGTGTGGAGAGAATAGATTTCACTGTGTGCTTTGCGAATCTTGCTTTCACCTTATACAGTACAGTATGTCACAGCGAAAGCAGTGCATTGGCACATATAAAATACAGATTCCACTGATTTTTCTTTGGAAAAAAAACTGTTAGCACCATTTTCTGCTAAAGTAGATGTCAATCTCTTTTTCTTTGAAGTTTTACTCATACTTGTTCACATATGTCTACCTTTAGCGCCTCCATATTTAAAATAAAAAGCTGGCTTTTGAAATCCGGTGGTAGTTTCCTTCTCCTCTCCAACTACATATGCATACTCTTAAGATCTCTAAAACATAGCCATATGGTATATCTAATGTAAATAACACATATGGATATTACAGTACTTTAGAAATAGTTAACCACTTATGGGCTCCTTTCATTTTGTAGTGGTGTGTCATGTGTATTATAAATTGTTTTTTGAAAAATGTTGTTCTTCCAATTCTTTTTTAAAATGTAGCAAAAATGTGGCTAGGTTTGCATTTCAATAAGGCTAATTTGAATAGTTCTGCACCACCATTGTAATTGCTTTTTTTGCATTCACTAATGAGCTGAATGATTAGGCAATACCTGCCTCTGATGTAGATAAGAGTAGCTGAGCTTAAACTTAACTGAGTGATTGGGCACTCAGGATGGTTCCATATGTATTTCCAGCTGCATCATTGATCAAAACTTTAATTACAAAATAAAGTCCATCCTATTACTGTTTTGCTGTCCTCACAATAGATAGTACGTTATCACAAATGATGCTTTTTCTCAAGTATTTGCTTCGCGGTGGCACTTAGTTTATATTTTTGAGATTAGTTTGTAGAACATGTAAGACCTGATTTGTTCAGTCAGGGCAAGATTTGGAAGGCAATGGGACAGCAGGATTCTTTTTATGTGTCTCTCATTCAGCTTGGTGACTGAGCAACTGCCATCATTCTTGAAGAATGTTGCTTCTTGATAAACACTACCAATCCTTCACAATGACATATTTATCATAAAGCTGTGACAAACCTTTCCAGATATTAAATATTGATCAGAAAAGTCTTCCAAACACATCCCTGAACCATCAGCAAAATTCTACCTGGTTTAAGTGCTGATTTCATTTTTTTTTTTGCTTTTTGGTGAGAATTGCTGTAATAGCATTTTCCTAGCCTGAGAAATATCTGCACTGAATACTGTGTGGTGGTATGAGAAACTTTATGTTTACACACAGCACCTATAATCCCCTGTGAAGTAAAGGATTAGAATTGTTGTGCTTGTGGATTTTGTTTTCACTGTTGTTAATTCTCAGAGCAAAAATATATGCGACAAGATTGGAAGGAGGTTCATTAAATATTTCGATGAGGTATGAAATACACCTCCGTCTCACCCCAAAGTCTAAGTTTGACATTAGTGCTGAACTGATCCATAGTTTAAGGATTTCAGTTGCAAATATGTGCTTTTCCATGCTCATGCTTAACTTGATTAACATTAAAAGTCTATAACATGCAAATCCAGGTGCATATCTATGCATGATTTATAGCTGGGATCCTTGACACAAATAATGTGGATAGCATTTTATCCCTTGTTTACTGTACAGTACATAAAGTTAAAAGAAAGTTGTTAAATACATACAAAGAGACACCCATATCCACCAATTAGAAGATCTATACATACAGTATGCTTTTCTATTTCTATACTTATAAGGAGCTACCATTGACATCTGATATTAAAATGGATACAAATAAAAAAAGGTGATTCAGTCCATCTAGCTTATTTATTTTCTAGTACAAAAGAATTTGTTTCATTCTATTTCTGTGTACTGTTTTATACTCTGCCACGGTGAGACTCAACATGGGATGAAGGCAAATCCAAAACTGTTTTTCAATTTTTGAGTTTTAAGAACATGTAATTTTGTTTTTTGTTGAAAAATGATTTCCTTTGTGGAACACCTCTAGGGAAAATCATATTCCTGCTGTGAGTGGTATTGGTGAGCAAGTGCCCATAGGTGGAGCTCTTCACATGGTGAAGGTCAGAATTTCAAAATCAATGAGTCACTATGGTGACAGGGGGCGCTATGCAGTTGGAGGTGTCATCCTTCAAATGAGGTGTTAGAACATGATTCTGACTTCTTGGTCTTTAACCATCCCATGCCAATTTTTGGAAGAACAAGGATGTTAATCCATTCATCCTGTCTCTAATCCACTCAGGCCTTGCACATTAAAATGTACCCATTAATTCAGCTTGTTAAGTATTTTCTGACTTCTCCTCCCAATTTTATACTGGGGCTGCTGGTGCATAATGGTTACCGTATAATACCCAGTCCTTATGGCTGCTGCTCTTCAGTGGTGGTAAAACGGGTCCCTTCCTATATGTCTATGGATCTAAAGGGATATTTAATTGCTAGGAATTATTCATTACAGTCAAACCGTATTTTACAAATAGCCATGCATGTTTTGGTTGTTTTTAGAGTCATGCAATAATTATGGAAATAAAAATATTACACATGATATGGATGACATAAGATGAGTTACTGACCCATCACTGCCAGCCAGCTACAGTGTTTTGCATAAATCCAGAATAAGGCCAGCATTATTAACCATATTCTCTATTTCACATAATCTAAGAGAAGTTTAGAGGGACTTATTTGCATTCTAAAGTGCACTTCAAAATGCAGGGGGAGGCCTGGATTAAATCAGAACTCACCCTTCCTGCAATCACAATGTCTAAGCCTAATGCTTGATGATAGGGTTCTGTAATTTCAGACCTCTGTCAAATACAAAACCACTGGGTTTGGAGCTAGAGATTTACTGATGGGTAATAGTTTTGATCCATCACTAATCAAAGTGCATGAGATTAAAAACAATAAAAATTACTATTTTTACAGTTCTCTCTTTAATTTAGCTGTTAAAGGCTTCTGTTTGAATAACAATTTGAGGATTATAGCTGATTGTGACTGTAGTTCCCAACAGCAGTGCATGATTAGCCTAACAACCATGTGTTTGGTGGGTTTGACATCGGTCAGGGTTTAGCACCTCTCTGTTAGTTTTTAGTGTTACCTGTGTGAGCATTTTCTTACATTTTCTGAATGCACTGTTGTCTTGTGTAAAAGATGGTACGTGTGATGTGTAGGAGGATCACATGCTCCATGAGGTTTGCTTCTCTCTTATAAAGTACTTGTCAGAGTGTTGAAGAGCAGAGTTGCATTTAACCAGTCTCAATTCCAAAAGTGGGTGTGTGTAGCAAAACCATTTTCTGTGTAACACCAATTAAAAAGACTCTGTTTCGTTGCAAAGTCATTTGTCTTGTTTTTGTTACGGATATTTATTTTTCAGAATATAATCTTGAGCCGTGTGAAGATCCAGGTACTCCGCGGTTCGGCAAACGGATGGGCTACAACTTTGGTATCGGAGATACCTTGACATTCTCCTGTAATATGGGGTACAGACTGGAGGGGGTGTCAGAGGTCATTTGTCTTGGAGGAGGCCGTCGCATGTGGAGCGCACCTCTGCCAAGGTGTGTGGGTACGTGGTCAGCTGCTTTCATTTGCTTGTACATATATTACCTGTCTTTAGATCTCGAAATCACACTTAGTGTTAGCAGTGCTTTAAATGTTAGTTTCACTATTTTAAAAGTCTTAGGTATTTTTCTGTAGTTCTCGGCATTACACAGCACACTGCCTGCCTTCACACTGTGCATGTTTTCTTAATACTTGTTTTTGTTCTACAGCAGTTAAAAGTCTTATAGCCAACTCTTCAAAATCAAAATTTCAATATTCGAGTACTGTCCTCCGGACCTCTTCAGAATTTTTCATTTGTGTGTTGCTTCAGTTCTGAGTGATTCAACGTTATGCCCCAGAGCACTTGCTATGGCAAAATCATAAAAATGCAATGTACATAACTCTTGATTGCGGGTAATGATAATGATATCGTAACATTTCTTCATAAATTTGACCATCCTATATAATTAGAAGCAAATGTGCCCGTGTATAATTACATCATTTTGTATTATTTATCTATTCAAGAAGAGTAACTAAATAACGGCATTTAAGCACAGAGAAAAGTTACTTTCAAGGTACAGTAGATGGACATGGCAAATTGAGCAATGAAAACCTGTAATTTAGGACTTTGAGATCTGTGTCTACTGCACAATTACTGGTTGGGAAGCTGATCCCTTTGAGCAGTTACTGTGTATTAAAATCAATTTTCTCTTCATTTTCTGGCACACTCGTCTTTATTATCTCAGTAGGGATACCTATTAAGGTATTGTCAAGGTGGTCAAGGTCATCTTTAAAATTCAGGATTTAAAAAAGTCTCCCCATTTCTTTCTTATTCTTAAGACATGGAGTATTCATTTGAATTTCTGAACTATCTGCTGCAGGGAACTATACATTACACCCTTCCAGCTATCACAAATATCACTAATCTCTCATCATAGTCAGTCTGTCTAATGCTACCACATTAGGAAATGGACTTTCCTTATGGATGTATCAACTCTGTGTTACTTAATCTCGCAACATACAGTAGGTAAAATCAAAATTATTCACCATGCAGTCCATTTACTGTTGTTACTTATGTATTTCAATTGAATAAAAATGTATATTGACTTTACTAGATGCATACAACTATATTAATTTTGCAGACATCATTACATTGTCTTCATATAAAACAATGTATTTAGATACAATGTTCTCTGCATTCATGTTGTATAAACATCCAGTGTCTGGCATCAGAAGGTGAAGGTAATTAATTTTTTTTAAAAAGTTTTCCATGTCCCATTGTTGAACACAGCAGGTTTCTAATCTGTCTTTGCAAAAAATAAAGTATACTCAGATATTTTTTTTTCTCCACCTGCAAAGGGAGGACTTACTGATTCAATTTCTACCAGTTATGGGGAGAAGGAGGCTGTAGCCGAGAATTGTAGAGATTGGTCTGTGGAAAGCATTCATGAAAGATTTTTAAAATGTGATGTAGAAAAAAGTGTGTGAACTGCAGAAAACTGCCACTTGTTTGTGGTGTGTTGATAACTGTGGGGTGAAATTCTCACCACCAATTCCTTTATGCATTTCTTTCCTCATTATACACTGTGAACATCATTCAGATAGAGGTAGCATAATTATATAGGGTCCTGTTCATGTCAGCTTCATTCATTATTATTATTAGTTTGACAAAAGACTGCTACAGCAACTCTAAATTTAATGTGAACTACCTCTGTATGACAAAGGTCACCCAATACTTTCGATCTGTGATCAATGTACTATTGCATGACCTGATCTTCACACAATTGAAGTTGGTGGATGAGTATCCTTGACCCATTCTACACATGACATACTTGTTAGAAATTTGTTTACAGATAACAATTTTGCTTTCCAGCAAAAGAACATAATAATCCTTACTTTATTCCATTTAATTTTTATCTGCACTCTGGGATTATCATTTGGAAATTAATTTAGTACAGATGAACATCTTAAAACTATAACAATAAAAATAGGATACAAAAATAATAGCAGAAACACAACAAGAATGAGTTGAATCATTTAAAAAAATATAGTTGCATGTGCATTTCTAAATGTATATACAAGTGTTTTTTATGTAGTGTATATTTACCAGCTATATTTCCTTTTCTTAAAAGAAAAAGTTGTTGATCTGAGAGTTATACATTAAAACTTTACTATAAAATTAGAACTGATAACCAGTATGCTAGAGCTTAAACTGCTTGAAATGAAGGGAAACACCGCAAGGCTTTTCTTTTTTTCCCCAAGTCTAATTCTTTCTTTGAAATTGGATTTAAAGTTATATAACAGTGTATAGAGGATATACTGTATATGTGGAAAAATCTAAATATTGTTACAACAAAGACTGTGTTAAAATGATCAATTAAGAGGTGCTCAAAGAATATACAAATCAAATATGAATCAGCTTGCCATGTAAGCAAATTCTAAGAATCAATTATAATTCCAACCCTTTGTTGTCAGGTAATAATAGTGACACAGAGCATGTGTGTTCTTGGCTCCTCTGGCACAGCTTGGTAATGTAGTTATGACCAGGCAACAAATTTAATAAGATGGACAAAATGCTTCTTTACAATAATACAGCTACAGAATACCTACAGTAACGTTTCACTACTGTCATTTATAGATATTTACAAAGGTGAGAGTTCTTGTGGTCTGCCTTCTACAAAAATACATACAGTAATTATTAAACTTCAAACACAAAACACATTGATTTGTCTCCCCTTTCTTTGATGAAGATAATTCCTTTCTCCCTTCTTTTTGTGCTTTCTTGTCTTTTAATGCTATTTTTTTATGTCCCATTCCTCTGAATGCTGGCTCAATGACCTCACTAGGAACAGTCCAGACATTGTTAAATATTTATGTCGTAATCTGGCTGAGAATTAATTGAGCCTGTATTACCAATTAGTACCACTCTTTAGATTATTTGGACTGTTTGGCCATTGTGACCATTTAATCTCTAAGACCAAGAACAGCAGCATAAACACTTAATAAAGACACGCAAAGACAATACCCATCTGTGATACACAGGCACAGTTTGGCTTATAAGGGCTTTGTGCACACACACACACAAATATTTTTTCCATACAATTTCTACACTTTATACAGTCAAACACTAACCGTGGAGGATGAACACACAGCAGATAAGCCCACTACAGTCTGACACGCAGTGCCACTAGGGAGAAATTCTGTACTTCCAGCTACACAGTGTGACATATTACTCGCTTACCAGTGTACGGTACATCCTTACTTTTAAGTTATCTATCTTATTTGTCAGATCCCCTCCAGGATCCTAGATTTTACATGTTGGACCCCTCTCGGGAAAGACTGCGCAGTCTAATCACCCCCTGCTGGTCTTCCACAGTCACTAACCATCACGAATACCTCCTCATCCCTTGCAGCCTTCAGTTTCTCTGCCACTCAGCCAGGCTATTTCTCCATCAGCAGCATCTAACAGTTCTCCAACCACTTGACTGCCTTCCTGGTGCCTGCAGTCACCAGCCTTTCTTGCTGCTCAATAAGGCTGCTTTATGAGTATAAATAGGACAATGTACACCTGTTGCCTGTTAAGGTAGCAATCTGAGGCCTCCCAGGAAAGCATTAGAGAGAGCTGATTCCCTGACACCATTGTATTGAACTTACAGAATAGGGTGATTCTGCAGAGATGTTTTGCTATCACTTACACATGCAACAGTGTTAATACATTAGAACAAGTACTGGGTTTATTCCATGCTGGAAAGAGAAGAAATAAAACACAATGTTTCGGCTGTGGAGCCTTCTTAAGACATTATTTTGATTCAGATCTTCCAAGTTTAAGTGTTTATAACATTCATGTAAGTGAACTGGTAATTACGTCTTGTCAAATTAGTAAAACCATCTCTCTCTGTTTTGTGTGAGTATATAAAAACACCAGTAAATCCACTGAAACTGTTTTTTATTTACTTTAAAATGTGTGCTAAAGTTTTCTATTTTTTTTACAGGCAGCATTGTAGATGCAGAAATCTTTTAATATAGATTCAGCAGCATATATAAATCATGGCAATTGTATGTAAACTTGTAATCTTTCAAACAATTCAAGTTTTCCATCAGGTCAATATCAGGATGAATACTGAATAATTTGAATCTGCCTTCTCAGAATATTGTTCTGCAATAATGTAGCATCTCTAGACCGTAGCCTGACATCTGTGTCTTTCAGTCTTCCTAGATAAATTAGTTGCAATTTAGTTGCAACAGCAACTATTGTGCATGTAGAGTACATAAAAACAGAAAACTGTTCTGATAGTGATTAATTAAATTTTAATATAATGGCTGATTTGAAAGTCAAACTGTTATCTATTATACAACCCTTCTTAACTTATTTTGAAACTCTTAGTCATTGAATTTGTGCAGTCTTTCATTACATATTTCACAGGAGTGCCTGTTCAAATAAAAACTGCTCCCCAGAGATACCTGCATCAGATGATAAATTTCCTTGTTTATAAGTATCTAGATTGGTCATTTAAAAGCCAATTCATTATAAGCCACTTGAATTTTGATAATAATTACACTGAGGTAATTATGGTTTTCAGACAAATGAAACTTTCATAATTCTTTTAACATTTTTTAAGGATCCTACGAAATCATGTACATGTACAGTAAATATATTCATTGTGCTCCTTTTTTTGTTTGCTAGATGGTTTTTATTTGGGAAAGTCAACAATTTTGTAATAAAAGCACTTTCTTTTGAAGCTCTATTCCAAGATAGATTAATCTGACTACAAAATGTGCATAGCCTACCAGCCATGCTCTTATGAAATTACTAATCAATTGAGGTGACTTTTATGAGGAAAATCAAACTAGCCCAACATTCTAGAATCAGTTATGTAATGTACTGTAATTCAGTGTGTTATTTTAAACAGGGAACTCTTTTCTCCTGTAATTACCACTAGCTCTAAACCATTGAAAGTTAATTTCTATATTCCAGAATAAATTAAAAACTAAAACTAATAGGAATTCAATGTAAGAGACTGTATA